AGCATACGACAAAACGGATTTCACGTCAGAGAAAAAATGTACAAAACTACCAAATCTACTAGGTTATTCTCCTGTATTTCGGTACCCTGAGATTCTCAATACATCAACGGCAGAGCTCCGTCCCACCATCCCACCAATGATAGAAAGCTCAGGGTTGAGAAAACTCAACTTCGGCGGTGGGACTTCACCCCAGGCCATTCTGGTAGCTCAGGGATTAATTAAATTCTTTTCTTTTTCGTAATTCGAAAATACATTCAGATTAATTAATTATTTTTCGACATTTGTTTCAAATTCGAAAATAATATTAATTAAATTAGTTCTTTTTTTCAACAAAAAAAAAATCGGAAATACGTTGAATTAGTTCTTTCTCAACATTACTTTTTTTTTTTTTTTTTTTTTTTATAGAAGAACAACATTTATAAAAGTCGGGAAACGGGACCGGCGTCCCTCACAAAATTAGGTGGAGCCCTCAGCGGGCTAAGCATCACCGGCCAAGCACATCAAGGGTACCACTAAATTTCATTCTACAGCCAACTCCACAGCCCCACCACTGAAAATTCAACGAAATTTATCAGCAAAATCTAAAGTTCATCGCCAAAAACTTTAATCACAATAGTCATGTCAACCCTAATTTAGTGACCTAAATTCCACCGACCATTAACCGAACAACATTTATAAAATTCCACCGACCATTAAGAAATCATGTGCAAAAAGGAACTACCAAAGAAAACGAATCAAAACCACAAAAAAAGAAACGAGCGGTAGGCGCTGCGTGATCATGCCCGCCATTCATCCGGAGTTATTATCAACCCCTGCCAATCCGCCCTGCCCCCCGTGCGGCAGGGGTCTGTGCCTGCAAGGCCCCAAACTGCTGGCAGAGACCCCGCAATCCCACCCAACTCCTCGCGATTCAAAGCGGATAGCACCTTCCCACACTCCTCTTTACTAAAACACCAACTCCCACCACGATGCTGTTTTCACTAACCACAGGATTACCCTACCTTTCTCCTCGCAATTTAGGGTAAGCCTCTCCCTCAATCTGCATACACCCCCTAACGAATGCTTCCCCTCCCTCCATGACGAAGCCCCTGTGAAGCAATGCTCACCACCACTTCTCCTTAAGAATTCACATGACAGCAAACAGCAGCCTAACCAGAGCATTACCCTACCTCCCCACACTCCTCTTTACGAAAACACCAACTCCCACCACGATGCTGTTTTCACTAACCACAGGATTACCCTACCTTCCGCGCGGCAGGGGCTAAAAAGCCCCGCAAAACCCACCCACCTCCTCGCGATTTAGGGTAAGCCTCTCCCTCAATCTGCATACACCCCCTAACGGATGATTCCCCTCCCTCCATGATGAAGCCCCTGTGAAGCAATGCTCACCACTTCTCCTTAAGAATTCAGATGACAGCAAACAGCAGCCTATCAAGATGAAATGAATATCTGACCCATTTTCAACGTCTCAGCGGTAATACCCTACCTCCCGCGCGGCAGGGGTCAAAGACCCCGCAAACCCACCCACCTCCTCGGGATTTAGGGAAAACCACTTCCGCTAATCTGCACCTTCTCACAAGGAAATCCCACTGCCCACCATAATGGCGTTTCTACAGAGTGGCACTGTGTTTCATTCCATCGCATGCAAAACGCTACACAAGAATCGCAACAAATTATGACAACTGTTACCCAAATGGCTTAAAAGGACTCAGATAACTACAGAAACTAAATCCTGTCACAAAAAGATGTAAATCAGACCCGCGATTGCTCGACCCGAATAGGTAGCCAAACCCAATATCTTCATAAACCAGCAGTGATACCCCACCACCCGTGCGCCAGGGGTCAAAGACCCCGCAAAATCCACGCTCCTCCTCGAGATTCAGGGTATTAAACTACACCAATTTGTGTCGGCTCCCAAAGAAACCCCACCACCCACCATGATGGAATCCCCGCGGAGAGACATTCACCTATTCGTCGCCGATTTCCTAAACCAAAGCAAAAACTTACACCAAACCATCAAAAACGATCCAACACTCTCTCTCTCTCTCTCTCTCTCTCTCTCTCTCTCTCTCTCTCTCAGACCCTAACACGGGCCGCGACAGGTGAGCACACCCAATCCACGAAGTCGATGTGCACTCCTGCTGGAGATCGTAAGCGAAATCCCCACGTATCCCCGCTGTGCAGCGAACATGAGAAGTCCAGCGATCTCCCGTAGCTCCTGTCTTCCTCAGCTTCGCGGGCTGACCCTGCAGAAACCTCCATATCAAAGATCGAGGGGCAGAACCCCCGATCGGTCTCATCAGGTATGGTGCAGCGCCCGGATCCCACCCGCCGATGGCCCCCACGTATCACGCTCTCCTTCCTCCACCGGACTAGGATTCCTGACAGAAGTCAAGTGAGACCACCAACGACCAGGAGCATATCACGGATCCCTCGGCACGCTCCCCTAATACCCCCGTGTTCTTCCCTGCGCCGCCATGGTCACACCATCGCCAAGTTTTCCCTTTTCTCGTATATTTTAAAATCCTTAAATTCCTTTTCAAAAATTTTCTTGAAATTCGAAAACAAATTTTTCATAATTCTCTCTCGAAATTCTTTTTTTTTGTAAGTACTTTTCTTTTGAAAATGTCACTCTGAACTCCTCAATTAATTTTGACTAAATTCAATTAAATCGCGAAGGAATTAATTTCTTTACTTGGAATTAATCATCCTTTTTCGAAACTTCAACATCTTTCTTTGATTATAAATTCTAACCCAAACATAAATCTGAATAAATTTAGTCAGATTTATTTTTATTCTTGGAATTAATTATTCTTTTTCTTCATTTGAAAATTCCTGAAAAATACGATTTCTCTCTCAAACCTTTTAGAATTTTCTTGAAAAATACACTCTCGAACAGGGTTACCTGACCGAACGTTCGGGGGGCCCTGGGCTGGCCCCCGAACGTTCGGGCGTTCGGGGTCCCGTTCGGGGGCCGAACACCTCCAGGTTCGGCTCCCGCCAAAAAATATTTCGGGGCCTAAAAATAAGTTTTTTTTTTCTGAAATTTTGTTTGTGAGTTCTCTATGATGTAACCTACACGCCTATAAATTTTGAAGCCATTCTGCTAAGCCAAAAAAACATTAAAAATCGTCAAAGATGGGGGTGTCAAAACGTGCTCGCCCACTCACTATTTTGTTTTTTTTCACTTTTAACTTTTTGTTTTCACTTTATTTCGGGGCCTATTATTTTTTGAAAAAAAATTAATGAGTTATTGATTATGTAAACTACATATCTGTAAATTTTCAGGGCATTTGTCAATGCCAAAAAATAATTAAAAATCGGCAAAGATGGCGGTGTCAAAAAGGTGCTGGCACACTCACTCATTTTAATTCTGTTTTTATTTTTTCTTATTTTTATCATAGTGTTTATTTTCGGTATTGGATTTTTAATTCAAATTTGGTAAAGAATTTGGATGTAGTGCCCAGGCAAATGTTGTTTATTGTATGTTTCTCCATAACATAGTTTTTTTCGGAATTTTCTGAAAACTTTTTTTTTTTTGGTCCACGTTCAGCCCGAACGGCCGAACGCCTCCCGAAGGGGCCCCGTACGTTCGGGCGTTCGGCCCGTCCCGAACGCCGGTAACCCTGCTCTCGAATTAATTTCGAATTTTTTAATAAATCTAGGAAGATTTTTATGCCCGGCCGACCTGCACAGCCGGGCACCCGGCTGAAAAAAAAAAAACTTCTTTTTTTTTTTGCTCTTCTGCGCTCTCCTAGAGGACCCCACAACCGGGCTCATTTCTTTTTTTGAGAGTTGGCTGTCAAGGGGCTAAGGGGGGTATAAATTGGTTTTAAAGGGGCTGAAGGGGATTGAAGGGGGGTGCCTTAGTGTGATTCTGTGATATTTTTTTTATCTCCGATTCTGTGAGGAATTCTGATGTGACCCTTTGCTTTGGTTTAGGAAATCTGCCACGAATAGGTGAGTGACGCTCCGCGGGGATTCCATCACGGTGGGCGGCGGGGTCTCTTTGGGTGGAGTGGTTTAATACCCTGCATCGCGAGGAGGAGGGTGGGTTTGCGGGGTCTTCGACCACTGCCACGCGGGTGGTGGGGTATCACTGCTGGTTTATGAAGATATTGGGTTTGGTTACATATTCGGGTCGAGCAATCGTGGGTTGGGTTTCCATCTTTTTGTGACAGGATTTGGTTTCTGTAGTTACCTGAGTCCTTTTCCGCCGTTTGGGTAACAGTTGTCCTAATTTGTTGCGACTCTTGTGTAGGGTTTTGCATGGGATGGAATGAAAGAGAGAGTGCTGCTCTGTAGAAACGCCATTATGGTGGGCAGTGGGGTTTCCTTGTGAGGAGGTGCAGGTTAGTGGAAGTGGTTTTCCCTAAATCACGGGGAGGCGGGTGGGTTTGCAGGGTCTTTGACCCCTGCCGCACGGGAGGTAGGGTATTACCGCTGAGACATTGAATGTAAGTGAAAAAACTGTGTTTCATGAACTTCTGAACATGTCTCTGGAGATGTAACATCGATATCATCATTGTTGTCCTGCATGAGTGCTTCTCCAAGGAAACGCAAACAGTCATGTAGAAGACTTTGGGTAACCCGTCGCTCAATCTGTCCCCTCGTTCTTTCCTTTCCTTGCCCCTCCCATCCCCTTTTTACACATCACCCAACAACCCACGCTCTTCTTTCCCTTGTGGACGACACTGCCTCTTTTTTTTTCAAATAGCACTGTGCGCCGTATAGAAATAGGGCCAGAGACCTTCGTCCCTGGATTCTTCAGAAATGGCCACATAGCTGTCACAGAGTACACACACACACACACACACACACACACACACACACACACACAC